TTTTTGTTCTCCAGCTGTAGTTTGTCTGACATCGATCCATCAGCTTTAGTGGCTAGTGAAAAACTATTCTCTACACTTAGTGATTTACAAAAACCTCTTCTGGACAAGATCATTTGTCGACAAGAGACTACTGCTGCAGGAGTTAGTGTGTAGCATAGATAGAATGCCCAGTGGAGAGACTCAGAAATGCCTCTGCTTGGGTCCTGGGATTTCACACCTAAGGAGAGCCTTTCGCTGGCATAAGATGGTGATAAGATTATCGAGGAGATTTCCTCAGAGTATCTTAATGTTCAGTGAGTTTGCCCTCATTAGTGGGATTCTGCACCACAGTTCGTCTTTGGAAACATTTATCATATTTTGTCCCTTCTTGTTTTACATTAATGTTACAAAATACAATGCATAGTTTTACAATAAGTAATAACTATGACAATAATAACAGTTCTGCATCTCTTCAAAGTCGAAGCGAGCATTCGTACGTATCCGATAGCAGTTGCAGTGTTGGTTTAAAACTTAGAATTCTTGGCTACAATAAGCAGCCTTCAGATAGAAGGCCGTCTTGGTTATCTACTCATTGCATGACGTCTATTGAAACATTCTAAAGAGTCATCGTCCCTAAAAGGGATGCATCTTATGCTCACCTTTCTAGCGCATACAGCAGCACACTTCCGATTGTGCTGCTCTGTACTATTTCGATTTTGTTTCGCTACCAATTCCGCACTGTTCAGCACGAAGTGAATGATTTGCCTAAGTTCTTTTCTCTCTTTCATACAGCTCCTAGCAAAATAGGTCTGTGTACTCAATAAGTATTTTGCTATAGGAAGGCTGGTGTAAGAAGACCTTTGGAAGGCGGGAGACGATTTTGCCTTTGAACAGGACGATGGGTCCATCGATATATGCGTAATTTCCAGGCTTGTATACTGTGCTAGAGTTCTGGTTGATTAGTGGCCTAATCTTGTACAACATGTGTGGTCGATCACACCTTGCCTTGTTGGCAAGGAGGTGGTATGCCAGCGGAATTTCAAGTGTATTTCTCGCCATAACAGCGTCTGCAGTAGGATGTTATCTAAAACTAGCGTTCATACTGCAATAATCTCTCTGGCGTAATGATTGAAGAAAGCCATGTTAAGGGAAAAACCGATGGATTTTTTTCATTTGGTTAACAATTGGCGCTTCGCACGACATACCCTTGTGTAGAGTACATCTGTTCGTCTCATTCACCGCCAACTACCAAATATTAGTTATAAACGGTCCATAAATTTTCTCGCTCCTGTGCTCCGATCCTTCATGTCCTAATTTTCTTTACTGTCACTACGAGTGAGAAGTCCATGGACGCTCGAGTTGCAGTTATTGTCAATTGAGTTGAGCAAGGTCGATGGTGTCAAGATAGTGGTGGGTGAGAAAGTACGAAAGAAAACAAAAAGAAAAAAGTGATGAAAAAAGTATAGAATAGCGATAACCTCACCCGAGAGAGAGCCTTGACTTCTCTGATCTTCTAGAATATTCTTAACGATTGACAGAACAATCACTCTGACTTCTTTGATAAAAATAAGAAAAAAAGCCAATTCACTCATGTCGCCAGGTTTTGCACTTGCTCAACAATCCTTACTTGTGATCCGTAAATTCTCAACGGCATTTATATTTTTTAACACGCATATCTCTGCTCATATTGATTTTTCTGGATTGAGCTAAAAGTACCGCAATCTAGAAATTTATGCCAACAGGATGCAAATTTCATTCTTTTACCGCAGTGAATTTGGATTTTAGTGAAAGTATTCTTATAAATAAACTGACAATAAAAATCGCAATGTTTGTTTTTACTTGCTGCCAAGTACTATTTTTCACGGCTGGGCATAATGTGGAATGCAACCCCTCTGATGTTGAAATATTTGTAAAACTCGAACCTCAAACCAGATTCGAACCCGCCATGGGTGGTTACTAATGGCACTGTTAGGTGGAAAAGTGGCTAAGAGAAAGTCAAAGCAAGAGCCTCAAAGATGCAGCGGGTAGAACGTGAGACTACGGAATTGATGGTCGAGGGTTCGAGTTCGATATGAGGCGCACATTTTGCAAATACCTCAGCATCATAGCATCATAATGTCTCAAACGATGATCTGTAGAGAGGAAAAATAGTAAATATTAGAAGGTACTTATCTTCAGACTTGTATAATTTCCAAAAGTACTTAGAATTCTTAAAAGCCTTCACTTAGTGTTTAAAAAATAAAAGATAAAACTCTCAGCGTTGATCGATCCCTTTAGGGATGCGCCATGCATTCGACTTCATCAAGCATCGTTGCAGATGATTAAATCCATATCTCTCCTTCACAATGACTCGCGGTGGCCGACCGATGTATTGAGCCAGTGCTGCTAGCTTCCCAAACAAATATGGTACCAATTTGTTGACCCCGGAGGGATGGAAGGCATGGTGGGCCATAGGCGTCGGGATCGATTCCAAATGTGTGCTGCAGGGCGTCTCCAACCACTGCGCTACACGGACCCTTACGTTGAATATAAGTAGGAAAATCCTCTCAAACACTGAGAACAATGTGTTTGGCTGACAAAATATGGTAAAATGTAGCACGTAATTGCAACTTTCTATCACCTAATACCTCTAGCTGGATAAAGCAAGGTCTCTACTATAACTCTTTAATGTTCTGAACCCCATAAGTGCTCTAACTGAGAAAAAATTTATCACTGATTGTCAAAAAATTATCATTTGGGGTGTTTAAATCGCAGACGAGTACTTTTTTGCTGTCGATGGAATCAAGGGTGGTCGTTTGTGTTTATAAACAAACTATACGAACTAGTTTTGTTTTCGTCAGACCGTACGTGGGATTTTATTGATGGAAATATGTTGGCCTCGTGTTTCGTAGCTGTAGAGAAGATTCAGAACTGCTCTACGAGTGCTTCATTCGTTGGAAGACTTTCGGGTACCGACGAAGAAGCATGTTGTCTGTGCGGGTTTTTTAATTGGCGCAATGGTCACTATCTGATCTCTTCGATTCTGTAGATTCCTGATCGTATTTCAGATTTCTCATAGCTTTGCGTTGTTTGTTTTCTCTGTTGTGGCGAAGAGCTCACAATAAACTTGGTTCATTGGCCGGGAATCTAACCCGGGTCGCCCGCGTGGCAGGCGATCATTCTACCACTGAACCACCAGTGCACCAAATTTGCTGTGAGATCTTCGCCACGACATTTTCTTCGTTTAAAAGAACGAAGTATGATCTCTCTGTGGAATAAACAAGTGACGAGACAAGGTTTCTTCGCAATAGAACGCAGTGTGAGAAAACTTTACGTGTGAACAAATTTCGTCAAACTACAAAAGTGATGTGATTCTAATCAAACAAGTTGTGCAGCAAGCAGACGAATCCGCTGGTGCGTGATTTTCATTTCTAAATATAGAAAACAATAGGTTTTTAATCGTTTACCTATTCAGCATGAAAGTTTTCTTCCGTCCCCATTAGTTCTTCTGCCTATCCTTCGTCATCCTCTCTCTCTCTCTCTCTCTCTCTCTCTCTCAAATTCATCTTCCTGTCCTGATCTCACTTTTCTGTCTTTACCACATATGTCTATCTGTCTGTTTTTTGCCT